GTCGAGGCTGTGGTGGCCGGGAGTGGCCACTGCACTCCAGTCTGGGTGACAGAGTGAGACTGCAACTCAAAAACAAAGAAACAAACAAAAAAACCAAGTAGCCGAAACTACAGTCGTGCGCTACCACGTCCAGCTAATTTTTCATTTTATTGTAGAGACGAGGTATCGCCAAGTTGCCCGGGCTGGTCTTGAACCCGCAGGCTCAGGCATTCCACTCCCCTTGGCCTCCCAAAGTGCTGGGATTACAGGCTTAGCCACCTAGCCCAGCCTGCTTGAGGGTGTTTAAAGGCTACGGGGCAAGAAGGAGAGATGGGGATGACATAAGGTAAGCTCCTGGGATCCAGGGCCTAGGTGGACGGTAAGGGACTCAGTCTCGGTCAAGGGACCACATGTATCCCCTCTGCGGCCAGAGGAAGCAAGGGGGTGCCTGTCTCAAGGGTGAGGCCGCCCGCGGGGAGTGCGCAGAGCTGGAATTAGGACTGTGGTTTTGAAGGGGTCTCTGGGCTGAGTGGGGTGTCTGGAGGGTCACGCTGGGGCTGGACTGTCTGAAAGGCCTGGCGTAGAGATGCCAGATCTCGCAAATAAAACTACAGGCCGCCCAGTTAAATGCAAACCAAATAATAGTTGTTTAGTATATCTCACGCAACGCTTCGGATATATTTATTCTAAAAAAGTATTCGTTGCTTAATGTGAAATTTTAGTCCTGTAAGTTAAGAGCCAACCCCAGCCCCACGTGGTGGAGTGGGAGACCTGGGAGGGCAGGGGGACCGCGTGATCCCACCTGGGGCCCAAGCCTGGACACTGGCAGCCGTGCCAGAGGGGCGGGTAGAAGCCTGGAAGAAAGACGCCACTTTCGCCCTTCCTGCGCGCCGTCGCTGCACGGACGCCTCCCCAGGTTCTTCTCCGGAGGAGTCCCCTTCCCCAGAACTTTGGTATCGTCCCACCCACCCCCGCCCACCGTTCCATGGTCTCGCCCGGGAGAGCCATCGATAATTCATCGCTCGGCCTCAATCGACTTGCTCCTGCTCCCCTCGCCATCCTGGACTACCGCGGAGTGCAGAGCTGCCCGTAAGGTACGGAGGCCCCGGGACGAGGGCCGGGAAATGGTGGCTGGGCGGATGTGAAAGCGTGGCTAAGGGAAGCTGACCAGCAAGACTGTGCTAGGGCGATCGGCGGACCACAGGGGACTCGGGGTCTACTCAGACGGCTCCCCCTCCCATCAATGTCACCGCCGGCCTGCCACGCATGCGCAACTGCAGCCGCTGCGTTCGGCTTTCCTTCGGCCGCCCTCTGCACTGCGCACGCGCGTTCCGCCCCTGCGGCAGAGTGGCGTCCCAGGGATGACTGCCCCCTGCTGGCCGCGGGTGGGGCGGCGTCCCTGTCTGGCGCGTGGGGCGGGGAGCGGAGCACGTGCCCCTGAGCCTCGGAGCAGTCCCTCGCCGCTTGTCACGCGTGTCCCTGGGCCTACCTGTGCGTCAGTTTCTCAATTTTTAAATGGGAATGATAACTGCTATCTTTTAGCACCTAGAGAATCTGTAATGTATTCAGTACGTAGAGGGTATTCTCTGAATGCTCCATGCCTCTCGCCTCTCCAGATGCTCTGAACTTTGACCCTTGTCGTTCAGCTCTCGACCTCTGTGCAGTCCTTAGTCTTCTTCCCGACAGCCACACCATGAACACCTCCCCAGGCACGGTGGGCAGTGACCCGGTCATCTTGGCCACTGCGGGCTATGACCACACTGTGCGGTTCTGGCAGGCCCACAGTGGAATCTGCACTCGCACTGTGCAGCACCAGGACTCCGTATCCTCCACCCAGGAGGCGGGCAGGGTGGGCGAAGGCCTGGGCTGGGAAGGGTGCAGCATTTCAGGCCAGATGGTGGAGGCCTTGGAGACCCCTGCCCCAGGTCTCCTTTTCTGTCATTCTCCTTGACACAGACTCAGCAGGTGAATGCGTTGGAGATCACGCCAGACCGCAGCATGATTGCTGCTGCAGGTACCTGTGACCCTTGACCTCTGGCCCTGACTACTGGTGAGTCAACCTGCTCACAGTCAAGCTTTAGGTCAGCCTTTGTCCCTAGGTTACCAGCACATCCGCATGTATGATCTCAATTCCAACAATCCCAACCCCATCATCAGCTATGATGGTGTCAACAAGAACATTGCATCTGTGGGCTTCCATGAGGATGGCCGCTGGATGTACACTGGCGGGGAGGACTGCACGGCCAGGATCTGGGACCTCAGGTGAGTGGGTGGGGCTGGGCAGGAGGACCCCGCTGCCTGGGAGTCGACAGGTTCTTTCCAAGCAGAGGCTGAGACAGGGAGTTTTGTGTGGGTGATTTATTGGGGAAGAGAGGACAACGACAACGCAGGGTGAATTGCATCAAAGAGCTCCTCCCTCCTTGAGGTCAAGGGCAAGCCTGCTGTTCCCCTTCAGTGAGTCACTGGCTTCAGGTTGCCCTCTGGAGGGGAGGGCCCAACCTCCCAAATATTTCCCATAAGGCAGCTCCCATTAGCAGAAGAACAAGTAGGAATCAGCTGGGGAGAGGTGAGGTCATCTGGGTGGGGTGCTGGCAGCATCTGCTGCAGTGTGTGCTCCCTACCACCACAGGTCCCGAAACCTGCAGTGTCAGCGCATCTTCCAGGTGAATGCGCCCATTAACTGTGTGTGCCTGCACCCCAACCAGGTGAGGGGTGCCTGCAGGGCTGGGCCCCTGGGGCCTTAGAAAACAGTGGTCCTGCACCACCTCACCTCCCCTGCACCCCAGGCAGAGCTCATCGTGGGTGACCAGAGCGGAGCCATCCACATCTGGGACTTGAAAACAGACCACAATGAGCAGCTGATCCCCGAGCCCGAAGTCTCCATCACGTCCACCCACATTGACCCCGATGCCAGCTACATGGCGGCCGTCAACAGCACTGTGAGTCCTGCTGGGGATGTGGCGGCAGTGGTGGCAGCTCGGCTCTCAGCCCCTGCAGATGGGCTTATTCCCCATGTCCCTCAGGTACTCCCCTTCCCCCACAAGCCTGCTCTCCCTCTGGGCTCTAGCACCCACCCAGCCACCAAAGCCAGAGCTGGTGCCGCTCCCAACATTCCCATTGGCCAACGGCCCCTTTCAGGAAAGCACATTTGAGTCCTTGGCCAGGTGTGGCCTCCTGCTCTTGGATGGCTGGGTGTGGTCCTTGGCCGGGGCCAGGCCTCCCAGGGACCTCCTACAGGCATACCCCTGGCCCCTGGGTCCCCGTGCATAGTTGGCCCCCAGTGTTGGGACCCTGTGTCTCAGACTGGAGGCTCTGGGCTCGCTGTGACTGTCCCCACACCCTGTAGGGAAACTGCTATGTCTGGAATCTGACGGGGGGCATTGGTGACGAGGTGACCCAGCTCATCCCCAAGACCAAGATCCCTGCCCATACACGCTACGCCCTGCAGTGCCGCTTCAGCCCCGATTCCACGTGCGTGCAGGGCCTGGTGGCAGGGAGGGGTCCCACCTGGGGCTGGGTGCTGAGGGGCCGGAACCTGCCTGGTACAGGGCGGGGTTTGCAGGGTAGAGTGGCCGCTGCGTGACACCTCACGCACCCCACAGGCTCCTGGCCACCTGCTCGGCTGACCAGACATGCAAGATCTGGAGAACGTCCAACTTCTCCCTGATGACCGAGCTCAGCATCAAGAGCAGCAACCCTGGAGAGTCGTCCCGTGGCTGGATGTGGGGCTGTGCCTTCTCCGGGGACTCCCAGTACATCGTCACTGGTAAGCCTGCTCTCCTGTCCTCCACCCTGCTCAGGCTGTCCAGGCTGCACCCTGAGCCGCTGCCCAACCCCTCCCTGCAGCTTCCTCGGACAACCTGGCCCGACTCTGGTGTGTGGAGACAGGGGAGATCAAGAGAGAGTACGGCGGCCACCAGAAAGCCGTCGTCTGCTTGGCCTTCAACGACAGCGTGCTGGGCTAGCCTGTGGCCCTTGGGAGTGTAGGCCTCGGGAGTGCAGCGTGGTGCAGGTGGCACCAGCTGCATGTATCTGTACACTACCCAGGTCAGAGTAATGCTTCATGGGCTAGCCTCTGCCGGCCTAGGCTAGCTGAACCTGGCTGGGCTACTCTGGACTCCTGGGCCCCTTTGGCCAGCCTAGAATTGCCAAGCCAGTTGGTCTTGGGGCCCCTCAGCCCCCAGCTGCTTATCTGGACATGACTGGGCACAGGAGGCTGGCCTGAGCCAGGCTGCAGGTGACAGGCTGGGCTAGACTGTGCACCCTTCAGAAGGCTTGGATGCCCAGGGTCTGGAGCTTCAGAGGGCATCTGAGGCTGGTGCCCACCCCAGGCCAGTGGTCTTCTCTCTCCCCCTCCTTGCCCCGTTCAGTTCTCAGGCCATAGAGAACACCACCACGGCCAGGTGGAAGGGTTTATTAGTCCCAGCCGGCAGCTGTTCTCCACGCTGCTGGTGACCAAGCCGGCCCGCTGGACTGGGGACAGGGGTTGGGCTGGGCCAGGCCGGGGCTCAATCTGGGAGGTAATAAAAGCAGACTGATACGCAGATGTTGCTTGGAAAGCAGATGTCGATGCAGAGATAGATCAGCCGCTGCCTCTGGGGCCCTGGGGGGAGGGGCTCTATGAATCCCCACTGGGCTTCTCCCCCAGCTCCTCAGGCTCCCGAGGGAGCCACAGTCCTGCACGTCGCCTGCTCCGACTCACCCTCTGCCCGACGGGCCCAGTAGATTGGGGTCTCCGCACAGAGGTGCTGAACCAAAGCGCCCACCTGGGCAGGGTCCACCGTGTGCCTCCCAAGCACGGCCAGCAGCTCCTGGGTGTGGTGGATATCCTGGCCAGGGTCCTGAGACCCTTGGGTCTGTGGAGGAGACTGGTAGGCTGTGGGTTGCAGCCAACTCCCTGGCTCCTGGCTGGGCGGGCCATGCATCCCACCGCACCTGGATGGCCCCACCCTTGGCTGTTGTCAGCAGCCTCAGCTAAGGGAAGATAGAGCTTTCTGTTCCCCTGAAACCAGAGCCCCAGGCTCCCTGGCCTGGGCTGCACACAGGACCCTTTGTCTGGCCCCTGGCCTGGGACTGTGCCCGGTGGGGGCTGCTCACCCTCGACATGTTCACCAGCAGCTGCAGGGTCTCCCGATCACCCTCCTCCATCAGGCGGAGGAAGCAGGCCTGGTGTTCCTTGGGGCGGTAGCAGATGGAGCCCTGGGGAGGCAGTGGGGTGAGGCAGGGCCACCCTGACACCTTCTGTGGTGAGCCCCTCCCCACTACTCACGCTCTGCCCGTCAAACAGCACCACCCAGCTGCGGTTGCTGTGCGGTGGTGTCACCATGACGGTCGCTGCGTTCTGGGCCACGTCCACCAGGATGGTTTGGTTGGGCCGTGGCACCTCGGGGCTTGGGACGGTCAGCCGGAGCATCTGCAGCCATGGCTGGGAGTGGGAAATTGGCACTCAGCTGGGTGGCCCCGCACAGTCCTTGCTCTGGGCCACAGAATTTCTGATATCCCCAGTGGGCCCTGCCACCCCCTGGTCCTGTTTCTCTGGCCATCTGTTCCCGGGTCTGCGTCCCAGCTTGCTCGGAGCCCTGCCTCCACCGGAGGGCAGGGATGTGCTGGCCTCCCCTCCGTTCCCCATGGCCCATGCCTGTCCTGAGGTGGGGCTCACCTTGGGAGGCCCCTGAGCGAAGCCAAGAAGCCCTCCAGCCACAGCCCCTGCAATTGCCAGCGCCAGCAGCAGCAGCAGCAGCAGACCTGCAGCCCTCCAGCCCCTAGAGCAGGGCCTCGTCTTCACCTGGGCACACATTGGGGTCGCTGGGTCATGAGTGTTAGAGACCCAGGAGCAGGCTTGCTCAGGGAAGGTGGGGCTGAGTGGGGTGGGCACTTCTGGCCCCTGCCCTGCCCTGGCCCAGGGCAACCCCTGGGTCCTTGTCCCAGGAGTAGCGGAGGCACTCACCCCAGCAGGCCCAGGCCCAGGGTTTTCAGTGTGGCTGCTTCCTCGCTCCATGCTGCAGGCCCTAACGACAATGTGCTGATTGTGCCCCTTGTCTGCAGCCTTGGCCAGGGAAACCTCAGGATGCCTCTGATGAGCCAAGCAACTGTACCCCTCCCCTTCTGACTCCCCTGCTTCCTCCCCAGCTCAGTATCTGATATCCAGGTCAGAGCCAGGACACTCCCCTCCCCCCACCAAGGGGGTGTCTGTCACCAGTTGGCTCTCCAGACACCTGGCCTGGAGAGCACAGGGTCTGAGAAGCATCTAGTGCATGATTGCATGGAGGTCAAGTCCAGTTGACTGACTGGAGGCAGCCCAGGTCCAGCCAGGGAAACTGGCTACAGTCTGATAGATTATCTCTACTAGGCTGGGCGAGGTGGCTCAGCCTGTAATCCCGAAGCCGAAGTGAGAGAATTGCCTGAGCCCAAGGGTTCGAGACCAGCCTGGGTAACTTGGCGAGACCTCGTCTCTACAACAAATCACAAAAACTAGCCGGATGTGGTGGCGTGTGTCTAGTTCCAGCTACTCGGAAGGCTGAGGCTGAAGGATCGCCTGAGCACAACAGATAGAGGCTGCAGTGGCCATGAGCATGCCACAGCACTCCAGCCTGGGCAACAAGAGACTCCAACTCAAAAAAAAATTAACCTCTACTCCTGGAGCTAGGCACAGGGCCTGGTTCATGGCAAGCTGACCAGTGTGGGCTTGTGACCCCCACTGTCCTCCCAGTTCTCCAACACAAAATGGGGCCATGGGCACCCTGCAGGGCACATACCCAAGGCCAGGGGTTTGGAGCCTCCTGCACACCCCAGGATGGTCAGGGGGCCTGCGTCCTACCCAGTGTGGCTTGCTTCAGACTCAACTCTGCTCACCACCCTGGGCCATCTATCACACCACACAGCATGTGCATGCATGCGGCCACCAGCTTCACCCCACGGCCTGCCCTTCTCTGCTTTTCCCCATCTTTCAAATGTCTCCTCTGTACCAGGCATGGGGTGGGGTGGTTGGCATTCCAGCTCAGCCTTCTATGTAGTCCTCCCACCCTGCTCCACCTGCTGCCCCGAGCTTGATGGGAGGCGAGTGCAAGGAATAGCCGAGTCAGTGTGGGTTTGACAATTTAATGTGCATTCAGGTTCACACATGCAGCAGCCCTTGTGGGCCAGAGACAGGGTGCACATGGGTTCCCAGACCACCGCCCAGAAGAGGGAGGCATTGCTGGCTGCTGCGTGCTCCTGGTGTGGGTGACAACGCCCTGACAGCCTACTCAATGTCCAGACCCTTGAGCCGACCTCACAGAGCCAACATCAGCACCACCAACCTCACAGGCGTGGCTGCCCTCATGCTGCCCTGTGGCAAGTCCATACCCAGCACCCCAGGCCCAAAAGGAACCCAAGGCTCAGGACACCCTTTATTGCTCTGAGAACTCTGAATAAGTGGAGGAATGCTGTGACAAGGCTGGGCCAGAAGCCATGGGTGCAGGGCATGGGCCAAGGACTCAGTCAAAAGGAACAGCTTACCAGGCTCTGCCCTGCAAGCACCACTGAGTCTTTCAGTCTGTCAAGGGCGAGCAGACATGGAGGGGTGAGCAGAGAAGGCCGGAGCCCTGCCAAGTCCTGCTGGCCATGACAAGGGAAGCCAGGGGCGAGGTGGGTGGCCCCTGGCATCCAACCCCAACCCCAACCTAGGGTATGAGGACAGGAAGATATTGGACGCTTTGTAAAAGGACTTCCTGTTCCTGGGGATGCATCTTGCCTCCCCCACCCAGAGCCTTGGCAACAGGCCTTCCTTGGCCAGTACATTTCTTTAGCCATGCTGCTGGCTGCAGGGAACGGAGAATTCTTCAGTGGGATTTTCCCTACAAGACAGAGCACAGCTATTAACACACTTAAGATTCAATTCCATAGCTTGACAAAGTTGTCCAAAAGTTAAAAATAATTGTGGTACCAACGCTGCTCTAAGCTCCCTGCACGGCAGCCCAGGGTTCAGCGGAGGCACCCATGGCCTCTTGGCTGCTCGGCAAACACCATCCTCAGTCCAGGTCGTCTGGGTTTAAACGCGTACTCAAGACAGCGAGGATTAGCTAGGCTGAGCTTACAGAACTGGGCAACTGTGTGTGAAGAGCAGCAGCCCTGGGCATCTGAAATGGAACAGACAGTTGTGACATCTGAGTGGTTTTCAAGGAAGCAGGAGAGGGTGGTGAGGGCAGCACCCCACACACTAAGGGCAGGAAGACACCACCCAGGAGCAGGTCTTCTTCCACTCTCGCCCTGCAGGTTGGGAGTGGGGGTGCAGGAGGTGCTGCTGGGTGGTCACACTGACAGGGCCTTGGCTCAGTCTGTGCAAGCTTCGGACGAGAGTCAATATTCAGCCCCTCTAGGGAGCTTGATCCCTGAATACATTTTTCAATAAAATACAGGACACACAACCCCAGACCCGCCTCAGTCCCATCAGCAGGCCCTGAGGTTACCTGAATCCTGGACAGATGCTGAGCCTACCCTCCAACAACACTCAAGGCCCAGAACCCATCCCCACAATGCCCTCCATGATTAAAAGTGCATCTTAAATATAAGCATCTGTAAACAAAATCACCTCCCAAACGCTTACTTACAAGGTCAACAACCAATGCCTTTGCTCAATTCCAATTACATTCTTTGAAGCCACCTAGCTGAACAGATGCTTAAGCCCCATCTATTAATTTGGGTAACTGATTAAAAACTTTTTTTTTATTCTGGAGATTAAAGATACTAGACGTTTAACCTTGAAGGGCTGGCAAAAGGTCTGCTATACTGTCAACATAGAAGTCAGGGACCATTTCCTTCTTAGACATGCAGTCACTTTCCTGATTATTCTTCACATCCGCTAGAGTGGAGACTCCAGTGAGGGTCAGGATGGTCTTCAGGCCACAGGTGACTCCCAGGAGGATGTCTGTGTCCAGGCGGTCTCCCACCATGACGGTGCGCTCTGGGTTGATGCCGTACTCCTGGGACACGCAGTCGAAGATGAAACGGCTGGGTTTCCCTATGATGTCGGCCTGGCGCTGGGCGGCCATCTCCACGGCTCGGACCAGGCAACCGGTACCTGCGGGGTGGAAGGGAAGGGGCAGGGAGTCCCCGGGTCAGAGGGTGGGGAGGGGCCCCGCGGCCCGCCGCCCGGCCTCCCGACCCCGGGGCGCACGGACCCGCGATGAAGTGGCCGTTCTCGAGCGGGAGCCGGTTGTCCATGTTGGTGCCCACGAGCAGGCAGCCGGGCTGCTGCAGGTAGCGCAGGGCTTTGGTGAGCTTCATGTAGCTGAAGTGCGGGTCGAAGCCCACCACCACGGCGCGCACGTCGGACTCCAGCGGCGCGTGCAGCCAGTCGCCGGGGCTGTCGCCCTGCAGCGGCTCGGGCCCCACGCCCACGCTGGCGACGCC